TATTCAGCAAGTAAAGAAGAATTTCCAGGCAGATTTTGGTGGCCAGGCCCAGGTGTGATGCCATCACTTCCCCTTACATTCCTCCAACCAGGACTCCAGTACATAGTCCCACCTACCTAGAGAGGAAGCTGGAAAATGTAATTCAACTGTGTCCCCAGAAGGGAGAAGGAGACGCTAGCCAGACTCTGTCGCTCAGTAGGTCAGTCCCTGTGTGTAGAGTGACCGAGTGACCAGCACTGGAAATCGGGCAGACAGGTATCACCCAGCAACAACAGCCAAGGTTTGGGAACAAGATTTGAGGAGCCAGGGAGGCTTGGGAAGAAAGGGAACACATGGGGCAGAAGAAACCAAAATCCAAAATCAGAAACCAGGACTAAAAATCAAGGCAAAAGTTCACAACTTCAAAGCCAGTGACATCAAATATCAAAACAAAACTGACGGCAGCCAAGGAAGCTGTCTAAGTTACACCTCTTCCCCGCCATCCTGTTCTGAAAGCTGAAGCAGGCTGGGTTTCGTGCGGGACCAGTGTGCTGCGCGCAGAGCTAGGAATTCAGAGGCAGGGCACCGTCCGCGACGTGAGCTGCCAAGGCCGGGGGGTAGCCTACAGGAAAGCTGGTCCTGGCTCTCCCCGCGCCTGCTCGCCAAGGTGACGGGGAAGGTGTGGCTCCTCCAGGACCTTCTGCCTCGCATTCCTTATTCCCTGTCCACACGTGCAGACCAAGGGGCAGAAGCTAGAAAGGTCATGCTTTTCTGGAACAACAGGCCTTATCTCAGGGCTGCTATAAACACTATACCATAGACGGTCCAACTTAACACACATGTATTGTTCATGGTTCTGAATGCTGGAAGTCTGAGATAGAAGTCTGCCAGCAGAGTGGGGTTCTGGTGAGACCCCCATCTTCTTGTTGTGTCCTCACATGGTGAAGAGCAGAGAGAAAAGCAAACTCTCTCCAGTCTCTTCATATAAAGGCACGAATCCCATCATGACGGCCCCATTCCCACGACTTAATCACCTACCAAAGGCCCCACCTCCAAATACCATCACACTGCAGGTGAGGCTTCAGAAGGGGGCCCTTCCCCTGGAGGACAGCTACAAGGCCCCCTGCGTTTGCCTGCGGCGGGGCCCGCACCCGCAGCCCGCGTGGAGTGAGGCGTCCTTGCCCAACAGGAAGGCGGCGGGGGGGGGCTCTCCGGCACCTGCCTTCGGCACTGCCCTTGACAGGACGAGATGAAGCCCACTCTCCCTTCCACCTTCAGGCTTCCCCTTTCAGCACATTTCCCCCCTGCCAAGCACCGTAATTAGTGCTTCTTTGTGGGTTTAATTGTAAATTCGTTTTGATTAATTAGCCTCAGAGCGGCCTTGGCCGTTATTGAGACATCGGAGAGGATTCTGGATTTAGCGTCCAGCCCCCCTGCGCTCTCTGGGATTCCTTTCTCTGTCGGCAGCAGAACTTCAAGTTCAACCCTGACTATGTTAGAAAATGCTTTATGTGTCTAATTAACTATTTGTCACTCTGTGGTAAGTACAAAGATAAAATCTCACCATCCAGTGTAAGGTGATGAATGTGTATCTTTTTATACTGCCATGGACCAGCTCAAGATCAATTTCTAGTCTTGGGAACAATGACAAAATTGTCTAATATAGTAATTTGTTCTGTGACACCTTACTCATGATGTAACCTTCCAAAAGTTTTCTCAAAATCTTAAAGCCTCCGCCCCTCCACTGAAGCCGTGTTAGGTCTCTACCTGCACAAAGCAACGCAAGAACCGCAGCTGGAAATGTTAAGCCCAGCAGAGCAGAGCCGAGTGTGCCAGTGAAATTTTTGGGAAAAGTCCAACCAAGAGACTGAAGAGCAGGAATCGAATCTTATCCCTGCCACTCACTATCTGATTAGGACTCTCAGGCATCCAACTGAAATGAGTGTAGGAAAAATAGGGGATGTTTTAGATCGTGTAACCGGAAAGTCAGGAATTAGTGTTCAGAAACAGCTGAATCAAGGAGACTGAAGCATGTTGCCAAGGCTCCGTGTCCCTCTCCTGTACGTGGCTTTTCTCTACTTTCTGTATTGGCTTTATTCTGTAAACAGTGTGCTCGAGGTGGAGGTGGCCAGGGCAGACAGCCAATGGCAGCAGCAGGTATACATGGACCTTACAACCCTCGGGCCCATTCAAAGGGAGTGCCTCCCTCTCTCTGAACTTTTATAAGCAAAATTGTACGTTAGTCTCTGATGATCTCAGCTGGCTCACCGGCCCACCCTGAACACTCACTGTAGCTAAGGGACAAAATAACCTGAATGATGCAGACTGTCTCCTATATCCCTTCGTATGGTAAGACACTGGGAGGGGAGGGATCCAACTCAACAATAGAACCATCATAACCACATGCAATGGGAAAATGTGATTCAAGAAATGATAGATCATTATTACCAGATGCAAAGAAAGAATAGGATAGACAAACAAAAGCACCAGAAATGTGTTACATCACCTGTTTAAACCAATCACTTATTTTATCTGAAAAATAAGCCGCAGAATGTCTCCATTCACTTTACATGGAAGCAAAAGCGCACACACACACACACGCACACGCACACGCACACACACACACAAATGCCTTAAAAAAAAGGACTTTGAAGAGAAAATATGTGTTAGATACTCTAAAATATCTCTTGTACACTGCTATTGAAAGAATAAATTTGCATTGATACTTTGGAGAACAATTTGGCTTTGTAAAACTGAGCATTCCTAAACCCACACAACCAGGAATGTCGCTCCGAAGTGGCAGAGAGAAGGTGATCTCCAACATCCATCTGCTCCCCTTCAGTTCGCAGCCTCCCTCCCTCGCACTAGGTTTGACCGTACGGCCACTTCAGGCAAAGGAAATGTGGACAGCGTCATCTGTCACTTCTGGGATAAGACAGAAGCCCTAAGCAGTTCCACACTGTCCCTCTTCCCCTCCAAAGAGGTGAAAGTCTTCTATTCTTGCAGACAGCTAAGGATGGCACAGCCTCTGTCCGCCGGGGTCCCTGAGACTCCACCACCGACAAATCACCTTTTGTTGTGTTAAGCCACCCATTGGGGGTTAACTTTTCACAGCAGATCTGCTTATCCAGCCTGAGGCAGCCCTCAAGAGAAACCTCCGCACATGTACACCATGCGCCTAGCAGCACTGCTCATAATACTGAAAACGTTTATGCGACCCAAATGCTCATTGATTCCTATGATGGATTTTTTTTTAATCACGGTATATTTATATAGTAAAATACCACATAGCAATAAAATATATTGTTACAATCATCATTATGTATAAATTTTAACACAATGACAAGTGAAAAGAACAAGTCCCAGAAGACAGCACATAGTGTGATACCCTTTTCAACTTAAAAACAAGCAAAGGAAATACATTATTTAGGCATATAGCTATATGTGGCTTTCAAATTGAATTTATTGGGGTAACCTTGGTTAATAAAATCATATAGGTTTCAAGTGTATAATTCTACAATACATCATCTGTATATTGTCCTATGTGTTCACCACCCCATGTCAAGTCTCCTTCCATCATCATTCATCCCCCACGAAAAAGAAAGAAAACTCTTAGACACAGACAACAGCATGGTGATTACCAGAGGAAAAGGGGGTGGTGAGAGGTAAAAGAGCATATATGTGACTTTTTAAAGAAAATCAGTCTAGCATTTGCTTCAGGAGGTGACACAGGAGATAGGAGAGGGACAGACTAAGAAAATATTGTTATAGATCATTGCTATGGACTGAATATTTGTGTCCCCCAAAAAGACATATTGATTTGGTTCGGTTTGGTTTTAGGAGGATAAAGATAATATCTGAAAAATGAGACTGGAAGCCACAGAATCTTATCAAGGGGAGTATTTCCTCCAACTCTCAGTTTTCTAACGATTCTCCTCCACATAGAAGGGGCAGTCCATCAGCAAAACTGGGAAGCTGCTGGAGTCTGCCTATGGCTAAGCAATCTCTAAATTCATGTCCTTTTTCCTTTGTGTTGGTCCTCCCTGCTCCTTACACTAAGATACCCTTATCTTCATATTCTCTTTAGTCTCTCATCTACCAAAACATCATTTTCACAACAAGCCTAGGCTTTTTTGTCTGTAATGCATTTCTCTTCTCTTCTCTCTTAATTTTTTTTTTTTTTAATCCTCATCTGAGGACACTTTTTGCATTCATAGAGCGAGAGGGAGAGAGGGAGGAAGAGACAGAGCGAAGAAACATCGATGTGAGAGAGACACATCGACTGGCCGCCACCCACACAACCCCAACCGGGCCGGGGACAAACTGCAACCGAGGTACGTGCCCCTAGCAGGAACCGAACCCAGGTCTCTCCAGACCGCGGGCTGACGCTCTAACCGCTGAGCCAAACCGGCCAGGGCCATTCCTCTTCTCTCCACTCTCTAAACACCTACTCAGTGCAGTCTCCACAAACAGGGCGTCAGCAACCCTTAAAAATCTGTTCTTCCTTCCCTCTTTTTGATGAATGCATGCCACTACTAGTTATTCTAGAACCATGGTTCTGGACTTAATCCTAGACAATTTCCTATCTTTGAAAATGGACAACGTTGCTAACTTTCACATGGGACACCAGGGCAGAAATGCATGATTAGGGAAGAAGTAAAGACCTTCCTGGAGACATGTGAACCACTCCTGTGAATCCCCAAAAAGAACTGCGGAGAGGTGGGGCATGGATTTTAAAGAGACCAGGTTCTGTGTTATCAGGTAGAACTATAAACCAGAGGAATTCAAGTTTCTCAGTTTTACTGCTAGGCTAGTAAGACATAGAAATAGTCAAATTACATAGTTTGGATGTCTGTTTCCTCCACTATATTGTAACTCCCTAGAAAAGATGGGCTGTTTTATTCATCTTTGATTTCTCAAGGTCTACCATGGTATACATGTCTACCAACATACAGTAGATAACAATACTATTTATTATTTCAATGAATAAGTCAGTATAAAATGTCACTTTGACAGTTACCCGTGTATGTCTGAGGAACCTGGTGGTACAGCGTCCGCCCCTGGCCGCAGACGGAGCCGCTCCTCACTGAGCCCACACATCAGACCGTTCCGATGAGAGGAGCGCTGTGGAGCAGGTTTCCTGGTTGTTGTCAGCAAGTTATCTTGCCTTGCACTTAACAGATTTTCTAGCTCCACATAAATAAGCAAACAGCATAAGAAAGAAGGGAAAAGGCAAGAGTTCAGGAACAAATAGCTTGTTATGTTTTGGAAATATTTGCCTCGAAGGATTTGGCAGCATGATTCATAATCATTTTGTCTTTGTTTTTGGTTGTTGTTTTTTTTTTCTGAAGCATCAACACATAATATAATAAAAAGAAGCACGATACTTTCACAGAATGTAAATGAGATGAAATAAAGAGGATGTCATTCCTACCAGCATAAATATTTACCAGTCTGGTTAAACTTTATAGAAATCATGATGAATAGGTAGGTGCCTGCTCATGGTCAGGGGAACACTGTGTATTTGTTGTGTATTTGTTGTAAGCTTATCCACGGGAAATGAATCATTTTCTCTCATCTATAATTGTAATGTTTTTTAAAGCACGTTCATTTGTTTACCTTGTGGGATTCCACAGTCTTGTCAGGTCATTTCCTTTACATTAGAAGAACCGATGTCAGATGTTCATCGTGGTGACACCTGTAAAGCCACCCAGTGGAATATAACGAGGCCTGCAGTCAATTTATGAATAATGTTGACCTGAAAAGAATAGTAAAAGCACAACTTCTACCCACCAGTCACTAATAACTATTAACTGCTCTACAAACGCCATGAAAAAACACTGTGCCCATGGCAACCCAGCAGCTGAACTCCAATGGTGGGTTTTTATTTAATTTTGGAGGAGGGGATGGCAGATGTACGTTCACATGCCCACCCATAGTTAATAATAACTTCTAAATCTGGCATTTCCTGATAATGCAACAAGCTTATAAAACAGCTTTCATCCAAGACCTTAAAAACGTCTAAAATCAAGCCAGTATTATCCGCATTTGAAAGATAAGAAAACCCCAAAAGATTATGCAGTTTGCCCAAGGACAAACAGAAAAACTTACTAAAGCAAAAATATAGCTCAAGGTAACCCACTCCCTGTCTGTTGTTCTAATTAGACAATCCTCTCCCATGTTGGACCTGAAACTCTGCCTTAGGTTCTCAAACACCTCCAACGGATCACCGAAGTCCAGGGAATGTTCCCGAAGGGCAGCAGTGGTTAATTGAACATCTTACAATTTGCAAGATTCTGTTATTAGTCTCATTAATTAGTTTAAAGCATTTCTCACACAACAAATTCTCAAAACACATTAAAATGAAAGATTTCCCCCTTGTTTTGCAATTTCACAAATTAAGATGTTCAAAACAAATTATAATTGAAATAAATGTATCACATTTTCACTTACAACTAAATAGAAAAATAAAGCTACCCACTGTACTCAGTAAAGGTAACTGCAAAGAGACTGGGGATACAAAGTCCACCCACAAACAATCCCTTCCTGGTGCAGAGGGCGTTCTGAAATAAGTAGCACAAACAATCATTTGAGTGAATTGCCTAACACAGGCAAAAATACTACGTAATGTCTACGATGTTTCCCTTTCATGTTTGTACCTTTGCATTCGCTGTTCCCTAAACCCTGATCACCTTTCCTCTCTCATCTTTCCTGTTTCACCATGTTAATCCCCAGAAGACTTATCTTTGGCATCAGCTCTTTTCTGAACCTTTTGCCCTCTCCATCTTCTACCTCACCCTCCAGACTGGAAGCTAGCCCTCCTCTGTGCGCCCACGCCTCTGGGCTCCTCTCTATCAACCACCTATTTCCCAGTATTTGAAGAGTCTCTCACGAGCATTAGACTAAGCTCCACAAAATCAGGGAACGTGTTTTGATTTTGTAAAAGAGAGAGAGGAGCCAGTGATTGTTTCTCCTTTTTGTGATCTAGCTTGATACCTAGAAAAGTTTAAGAAAGTTATCCCAACTCGCCCTGGCCGGTTGGGCTCAGCGGTTAGAGCGTCGACCTGCGGTCCTGAGAGACCAGGGTTCGGTTCCCGCTAAGGGCGCGTACCTCGGTTGCAGTTTGTCCCCGGGTGGGTGACAGCCACTCGATGTGTTCCTTTCACATCGATGTTTCTCTCTCTCTCTCTCTGTTCCTCTCTCTCCCTCCCACTCTACCTGAACAAAAAATGAAAAAATGTCCTCGGATGAGCATAAAAAAAAAGAAAGTTATCCCAACTGGAAAAGGGGACTTTCCTATTTCAGCCCCAACAATTAAAGAGCTTAGACGTTTTCACCCATATCCTTACAAGAAGAAAAAAGCTAAACAAACTGAAAATCAGTGACTTTTCCTGGACCCATTAAATAACTAAAGTTGCCAGGGGAGGAGCCATCCCATCAGAGGCAGGTGGGTCCAGGGGCTCAGCTGAGGTCTGCTTACCTGGAGCAGACGCCGCTGGAGCCATGGCCTGCTGGAAACACTGAAATGGCAATCTTGAGAAATTACTGGAAGCTGAGTGTGGACCAGTGTGAGAGTGATAGACTCCTGGGAGCTGCAGTCTTAAGGGGCCCCCACACTTCTGTTGGTTTTATCTCCAGGAACCCCACCAGCTGTTCACGAAGCTCCCAGAAAGATGCTCTGGGCTCTGGCAGGGCGAGGGGAATATAACCCCTGTGAAATGCCCAGAGCATTCGCCACCACAAAGGTCTAACTGCCAGAGAAGAAAACTTTACCACAGCTTTATCCACCCTGGGGGTGGCTTCTTCCTGACTCCAACCCCCTCCAGCCTTCCTGTGTCGTATAAGAGGCAAAGAGAAGATAAGAAACATTTGTGAAGCTGGCAGCCCAGGTCCGCTAATGGCTGCAGTTTAACAGTAAGACTGCGGAACCCTTGCCTCGCCCACAGTCCCCGCCTCACCGACGGGGCTGCGGTGTAACAGCGATGGGGTGCGGCTGGAGGGCTGTGACACCAGGACTCCGTCCCAGAAGTTCTTAGGGAACAGCAGAGACACAGGCAATTGTAAAACAAGGACACAAAAGAATTTGAAGCCTCCGACACTTAAACTAGAACAAACATTAAATATAGCTAACTCCTAGCCTTATTTAAACAAACAAACAAACAACCACCCCAGCTTGTTTGGCTCAGCAGTTAGAGTATCGCCCCTTGGACCAAAGAGTCACAGGATTGATTCTGGGCAAGGGCATGTTGCAGTTCGGTCCCTGCTGGTTGGGGTCATGTGAGAAGCAATTAACCGATGTGTCTCTCTCACGTCAATGTCTCTCTCTCTCTCTCTCCCACTCTGTCTGAAGATAAATGGAAAAATATCCTCAGATGATTAAAAAATAAAAAAAAAAAAAAAAAAAACCTTCACACTAAGGGCCTATTTACTCAGTTCCTGTAACTGAATACAAAATAAACAAGTTTCAACCAAAAATGACATGGCACGCCAAAAACAGAAAGAAGAGAGTCTGAAGAGGCAAGGCAAACATTAAAACCAGGGTCAGATGTGACAGATTTTGGAATTACACAAAAATTTAAAGTAACTGTGACTAATACATTAAGGCCTCTAATGGAAAAAGTAAACAATATGCAAGAACAACTGGGTAATACAATCAGAGAGAAGGAAACTCTAGGAAAGTATCCAAAGAAAATGCTAAAAAAAAAAAAACATTTCAAAAAGTAAGAATGTCTTTGATGAGCTCACCAGTAGAGTCACAGGCAAGAAAAAAATCAGCGAGCTCAAGGGTAAGTAAATTAAAACTTCCCAAACTAGCCCGGCCAGTGTGGCTCGGTGGATTGAGCGTTGTCCCATGGACTGAGAGGTCCTGGTTGATTCCTGATCAGGTACATGCCTGGTTTGCAGGCTCGATTCCCAGTAGGGGGCGTGCAGGAGGTAGCCGATCAATGTTTCTCTCTCACATCGATGTTTCTATCTCTCTTTTTCTTCCTCTCTCTCTAAAAAAAATCCATTAAAAAACTGTTTATAAAAAAAAAAACTTCCCAAACTAAAATGAAAAGAGAAAAAATAATGTTTTTAAAAAAGGAAGAACATCCAAGAACTGTGGAATAATTTCAAAGGGTACAGCATATGTGTAATTGGAATACCAGAAGAAGAAGAAAAAGAGAACAGCATGGAAGAAATGTTTGAAGTAATAATGGCTAAGAATTTTCCAAAGTTAACAACAGACACTCAACCACACACCCAGGAAGTTCAGAGAACACCAAGTGGGATAAATACCCAAAAAATTTACATTAAGACATATCATATTCAAGCTATAAAAAACAAAAGACAAAGTCTTGGAAGAAGCCAAATGTGGTGGGAGGGGGGGACCTTACCTAGAAGATTAAGGAAAAGAATTATAGCAGACTTCTTATTAGAAACCATGCAAGCAAGAGGAGAGTGGAGTGGAATATTTACTGTTGAAAGAAGAAAATTAAAGCTGAAAATAAGATTTTTAAAAGATTTATCAATGTTATAGAGGGAGTGTTCTATTTAACAACTTTATGAATAATTGATATATAATAAACTATGCATGTCTAAATTGTACAATGTAATAAATTTTGACATATGTATATGCCCATGAAACCATTACAACAACCAAGATCATGAATATACCCATCACCCTCCCAAAGCTTTTGTGCCCCTCTGAAATTCTTTCTTCCCAGGTTGCCTTGCCTCTCCTGCCTAGGCAGTCTGTGATCTGCTTTCTGTCACTATAGATCACTTTGTATTTTCTGTAATTTCATGTAAATGAAATCATAAGAGTATGTTCTTTCATGTCTGGCTTCTTTCACTCAACATAATTATTTTGAGAATTATCCACATTGTAGTATGTTTATCAACCGTTCATTCCTCATTATTGCTGAGCATGAATTCCCCTAGTGGATATTCCATAATTTGTTTACAGTTTGGGGCTATTGTAAATAAAGCAGCTATGAGCATTCATGTAAAAGTCTTTTTGTACATATAAATTTTCATTTCTCTTCTTTAAATACATAGTAGTGAAATAGATGGATTATACAGTAAGAAACCACCAAACTGTTTCACAGGTTGTTAAGACCATTTTTATCTCCGCAAGGAAGGTATGAAAGTTAAATTCCTCCACATCCTTGTCAACATTTGGTATGGTCAGTGTCTTTGATTTTAGCCATTCTGATAGGTGTGTTGTGGTATCTCATGGTTTTAATTTGCATTTCCCTGATGACTACACGGGAATAGTAAGCATCTTATCACGTGTGTATTCACCACCACACATCTTTGAAGATGTATTTGCTCAAAGGCTCTGGCTATTTTCCATTGAGATTTTTGTTTCCTAATTGAGTTTAGAGCACTTTTTATATATTCTTGATACACGTCTTTTATCAGATATATGATTTGCAAATATTTTCTCCCAGTCCATGGCTTATCTTTTTATTTCCTTAAGAACGTCTCTCAAAGAGAAGTTTTTAACCTTGTTAATGTTCAACTTATCAATTTTGTCTTTTATGGATCATGCTTTTGGTGTCATACCTAAAAAATCATGGCTTATTTCAAACTTCTCAGAGTATCACTCCCTGAGATTCCACATTAACAGAAGAGATGGGCACCTTCCACCAAGCACGAACACACTCTTGCAAGTACCTTTACCTACAACACCAGCTTCTCTCATGTTCCCTAATATAGGCACAGATTTTGTAGTCTCCCTTATTAACATTCAATGAAGACTTTACATTTCTCTGGGAATTAAAATAATAAGAATAAGTGCCCAGCCGATGTGGCTGACTGGTTGAGCATCAACCCATGTACCAACAGGTCACCGGTTCAACTCCAGGTCGGAGCACATGCCCAGGCTGTGAGCCAAAACCCCCAGTGGGGGACATGCAGGAGGCAACCAATCAATATTATCTCTCATTGATGTTTCTCTCTCTCTCCCTCTCCCTTTCTCTCTCTCTAAAAATAAATTTAAAATTTTTTTATTTTAATAATAAGTATAGTATATAGACAAGGTTCAGGACAAGCTACCCCAAAATGCATCACCTTGGTATAATTTAATATTTTAAGCAAAAGAATTTGAGAGAACAGAAACACAGTCACTTTGACCTCCTCCCACAACCTTCTTCTCTGAAACAGGTCATAAAGCCTCATGTGAGAGGAAAGTAAGCATCCGTATCTGTAAAGACCAAGAAGAATTCGAAGCAACAGGCCTTGCTCAGTTTTGCCCAGTTCATACTCTCTGACCTGTTATATTTCTGCACCCTGCCCACTCTTCATCAAACTGAGGCACTTTGGTAAGAAGCCAGGAAAATTCCTTGGCAAGTGGAATGGGGAAACTGAGACAGATAGTTAAACAGCCGAGAAATTGACAGCCAGATAATAAATCACAAGGTCTTATCTGTCTTAACCAAGGCTGCTTAGAAGCAAATGGTTTACTCACTTCAGACTATGCCAGGGCTGTCCCAGTCCCTTTCTGGTGACATTCTTTGAAGGTGAAACTGACCAGAGAATGACCATCAGTATGCTCATTTTGATTCATCAGCATATAAAAGGACAGCCCTGGCCGGTTTGGCTCAGCGGTTGGAGTGTCGTCCTGCGGTACAGAGAGACCCGGGTTCAGTTCCCGCTGAGGGCACGTACCTCGGTTGCAGTTGGTCCCCGGCCCTGGTTGGTCGTGAGGGTGGCAGCCACTCGATGTGTCCCTTCACATCGATGTTTCTCTCTCTCTCTCTTCCTCTCTCTCCCTCCCGCTCTATCTGAACAAAAAATGGAAAAATGTCCTCGGGTGAGGATAAAAAAAATAAATAAAAATAAAAGGACAAACTTTCTGAAAGGACAAACCTGATGAATATTCTGTTGAGACCTCCTTTAGAAAAACAGATAAAAATCTTTAAGACAAATGACCCAGTTTGAGCTCTCCCTTCAGTCTATCTTCCAACCTTCTTTCCTCGGGTGTGTATCTTTGCTTTCTTTCTCCTAAGCTCTAAAGGTTCCAACGAAACTTGCACCCAGGGAGCGGCAGGCAGTGGCATCTCATCCTGGGCTAACCCCCTGAACCTGTCTCCAAGGGCAGTCCTTTTGCCTCTGTAACTTGTTTCCTGAGTCCACACAGCCCAGCTGGCTCACTTTTTCTGCCTCTGGGACTTTCTCAAGAGCCAAGGCAGCCTTGCCTAGACTTCACTCCTCCTCGTGTTTCCAAAGGGCCAAGGCAGCTCCACCGAGGCTTGCTCCTGTTGCTACCATCTTGCGTCTTTCATCCTATGCCCTTCCTTTGTGTCACTGTCTCCAGCTTTAATAAATGTACTCTCAAAATCACAGGGTCTCATGTCATGAAATCTTTCCTGCTAGAAGTCAAGAACCCACACATTCCAGACCGTGCCAGGGCAGATCTGTCTCAGTCCCGGTCCCTTTCTGGTGACAAATCCTAGCAGAAAAGACTTAGGGATGTTTCGTTGAGTCTCTATTTCCTTAATGAAGGCTTCATGTCACATAAAACTTACATCAAACGTATGCTTTTCTCCTGTTAATCTTTGTCAGTTTAATGTTCACACCCAGCCAGAGACCTTAAGAGGGTCAAGTAAAATGCTCCTATCCTACAGTATACAAATAAAGGTGAATGCAATTGAAAGGCATTGATACCCAACAGGTATCTGTAACTGAAGGTTCATTCATCCCCAATGCTTAAAAAAAAAAACAATTCTGTGAAAATGAGCATCCTCTGTGAAGGGTGATGAAATGTAAGTCTGACTTTACACACACAGAGCACTTTGTTTTGATGGTGATGGTGTCTTTCTCCTTCTTCAAAACTCAGGGGAAAGGCTCGGTGAGCACGCCGGCCTGCGACTTTTGTTGTGGAAGACCTGCTCTGTAACGAAGTCATTATCTTGCTGAGGACGGAGTGAGAAAGTGTTCCTTCTTTCCTGTCTGCATTAAAGTGCCTGCTCCTTGACTCGGTTATTAAAATGAGGGAGCAAATAGCTCCTTGTTCTAATTTTCCTTATCAGCCTCCACAGGGCCCATTTCAGGCTGTCTGTGAAGTGTTAGAATGCAATTGTGTGCTTGAATAAAAAGGAGAAACTGAATTAGAGCCTCTTAAGACCATTACACTGTCTTGTTTAGTGACACTGTTTGCCTCGCCATTACAAAGCGATGACCTAAGTGTTCTTCCTGAGTAATAATAATAATGCCCACATTTAACTAGCACTTTACACTTTGCAAAGCACTTTCACATTCGTCATCCCTTTTGATTCTATCCAACACTGGAGCAGATGGAGGGTTTGTGAGGACCATCAGTTTACAAAGGAAGGGACTGAATCATGATTAAGTTATCACTTTAAAACTTCAAAGCCAGTGTTTGAAAGCAGATGAGCCTGGGATTGGAGCCGGGCTGCCCTGCCTTTAGGTGAGCCAAGGTGAGCCTCAGATGCCATTGGGAACTCAACGCCGAGACTCCCTGCAACATGGGGGAGAGGTCTCTGTGTCCTGACTTCAGTGAATAGTCTCTGAGAGGACAGAGGACAGAAATGAGGCAGATCAGCAGCACTTCGGATTGGCTGGCATAAACAAGAACATTTGCTATTAATCCATACGTTAGGGAGAACAGATAATTTTCAAAGGGTTTGAGTTTTTGAACAGCTGTTTTCATGTGTCTTTATGTGAATATTTCCATAATCTGTTTAGATATTGTCATATGTCAAGGAAAGTCCACATTTTATAAAACATTTCAATGGTGTCACAAGTGATTTTTGATTGTGGATGACTCTAGCAGATATATGCTCTTTCAGAAATAAACCTAATCCTGGAAATGTTTGTATAAGCCAATTTCATGACAAACTAAATTTTATGAGCTTTTCTTATTTTACGGAATTTCTCAAAGATGCTATTTAAATGATGCAAATCATCTTTACTTGACTAACTTCACTGATCAATTTGTAGTTTGAGTACATATAAGGTTTTCTTCCAGGGGACCAGGTGTATGTGACTTGCAGATATTTCTATTGTTTTGTCTAAATCCGCTAAAGCCCCTACTACGTGCCAGACTCTGCTAGAGACTGGGAATGCAAAGATAAAAACACAACCCCTGTGCTCAGGTTACTCACAACCCTTGGTGGGGAAAAAAACTAACTAGGAAAATGATCTACTTCCCCGTTTGATGGTTTTCAAGTCCCCAGAAATTTCTAAAAATATTTGTGTCATTACCAAAAATAGAATGTCAGCTTCCTTAGCCTGGGGACTCTAGAAAGCAGAGCCTTGGCAAGGATCAAGATGGCAACATGTGAGTTAGCGGTTGGAGGGCCGAGGGTAAGAGAAAAGGGAAGGGAGGCAAGGAAAGGTGATGCGATACTGCACCCCAATGGGGGCTCTCGCTTCACAGTGAGCCATCACGTTGCCGAGCAGGTGTTAAAACATAAGCAGGGCCTATTAAAAATGTTAAGAGTTTATTTGAG